CGTGCCGACCGTCCGGCAAAACTATCCGACCAAATTGACTGCTACTAACATGTTATGATCTGGAATGAACATTAAACTGAATCTAACATAAAATGACTGAACTTGACTTGCAACCCTAGCCCTTCGGCCGTGGCGCACTCGCTATGTGCGAGGCCTACGGCCCTTGGCCAAAAATTCGAACAATCTCAACAATCTTTTGACCATTATGAACTGAACACATATAAATCAACATAATCTGATCTTTTAACCATAAGCTGCTCGCAACTGTTAAACCATACGGAAAGATGAGGCTATCAAGTCTCCTATGGCCCGCGGGTGTGCGCTAGACGCACAGCCCGCCCCTTTGAGCCGTAACCTGAATCTAAGGCCGACTTTTACCGACCTATCTTTTACAACTGAACCTTATACTTCAAATACAAACTACAGGGAACAAGATTGCTCATGACTTGCTGAAAAATATTAAACTTAACTCGGTATTAACTTAATTGAATATATGCACGGCTTTAACATGAATTTCTTATAAATTTCTAAAAATTCTCCGCACAATCAACTCTAAAATAGACTTACTAGCATGATTCTAACATGAGGAGGAAATACCTTGACAATCGCTCGACGGAAAAATCGAAACGAAGCGTGCTGCTTGCCTTGCGCTCGCCGTGCGATTACCCTTGACTTTGCCGTGCGATGGTGCTGAAGATTTGGGAGAATTTGCTAACTTAATTGCTGCTGAAAGTATAAGCTAGATGAAGAGGAAGTACGCTGAGTTCTCTTTAAGAGGAGATGAGGAAATTTTCCCTCTAACACTTACTTATATTTTCGGTTATGAGGAGAATGAGTGACGAGGGGGCGTTGTGGCCCTTCATAAGCCATCCATTTGGCACACTTTGATGACTTCTTATAATGACTAATCACTCCCTTATAGTGCCACGTTTCATGCCAAATTTGTGAAGAAGATTTGATTTCCTTGACATGAGTAAATCTTACGGCACTTAGGAGGATTTTGGAAAAATATACCTTAAGTAATGCCATATGCTATAACTTAGAGTAAATTGTTGTCCCAACTCACGGCTCTTAGGGCTTTAGTTGTGATTAATCATTAATTAATCACTAACTTTATGTTTAATTGTTAATTAAACATAATACTTAATTACCAAAATTATTTCGGACGTAAACGGTACGCCGAAAATAGATTTCGGTAATCTCGACTGAACTTAATTAATTCCGAAAATAATAAACAATAATGCTATTATATCGGAACTAAACGTAATTATACCGATTAAAATATCGGGATATTACATTGTTGGAACCCACGAGGATCTCGATATGCACAAATCACAGACAAACATTCAACATAAACTTATGCGCAGCGGATCTAAAGGTTTGATGAAGAAAACTTACTGCTTACAATTTATGTAGATCTGGCTGGCCCGGACAGTTGACCGCAAATAAAATCTTCTCCGAATCAAACAAACTTGACCAATCCAGAAAGCTGACGTCACTGCGAAGTCAACGGCGTTGACCGATCGGAAATCAGAGGTGTCACAAGTGTAATATCCACTAAAGCAAAGCTTAAGTATATAACACCAACAATCTCCC